TGATTCCTTCGTGTCGTAATTGATTACTTGGTCACCAATTATTTTGTGTCCAAAAAATAAATAACGTGATAATTTGAGGTCACCAACACGAACTTTTAAATTAAACGGAAGGTTATATACTTTTAGAATATTAAAGTATTTTATAAACGTAGCTGAAGAACAGCGTCATGGTACATGATCAGTTATTTTCAGACTTCATGGTAGGATCACCCAAGACGGACAGGTCTAAGGCGATGCACCAGACTAAGAGTGATACCCTGGTCCTCAAGGTTGGGGGTTGGGCGTAAGGGTAACAAGGTTTCGCCGTAAAAAAAGCATTGTTACGAACAAATTAACTAAGCCTAGGACCAGGACGGACTCTTTGGCACGACCATGGAAATTGAAAAGGGATATGAGATTTGGAACTTGGAACATTAAGAGTCTCTATAAGGCTGGGGCACTGAAATCAGTGAGTAGGGAATTAGACAATTATAAGTTAGACTTACGTTAGTGGCAGTGCAGGAAGTCCGACGGGAGGGGCAGGGCACGATCCCAGTGGACAATTTCACATTTTTTTAATGAAAGGGGAATGACAATCATCAATTAGGGATGGGGTTTTTTGTTTATAGCAGAATTAGGGCAGCAGTTAAGAGAGTAGAATTTGTTAGTGACAGGTTGTCTTACGTAATTTTGGAAGGACGTTGGTGCGACATCATTGTCCTTAATGTTCATGCCCCAACTGAAGACAAAAGCGATGATATCAAGGATAGCTTTTATGAAGAATTGGAATCAGTATGTGATACATTTGGCAAGTATCACATGAAAATTCCGCTAGGAGATTTCAATGCAAAAATTGGGAGGGAGGATATCTTCAAACCCACAATAGGCAGCGAGAGTCTCCATGCACTTAGTAATGATAACGGTCTTAGAGCAGTAACCTTCGCTACGTCAAAAGATTTAATTGTAAAAAGTACAAAATTTCCACACCGTGATGTTCATAAATACACTTGGACTTCCCCAGATGGCAGAACACACAATCAAATAGATCATGTTTTAGTAGATAAGAGAAGGCAGACAAATGTAATTGATGTGAGATCATTCAGAGGAGCAGATTGCGACACTGATCATTATCTGGTGGTAGCAAAAGTGAGGGAGCGGCTTTCAGTAAGTAGACGAACTAAACAAAATTTTGACACAGAAAGATTTGATTTGAAAAAATTAAGTGAGGGAGAGGCAAAGGAACAATATCAAGTTGAAATTTCGAATAGGTTTCAAATTTTAGAGACAAATGAGGATAATGAAAGTGTGGACATCAACAGGGAGTGGGAAAATGTCAGAAACTGCATCAAAATTTCAGCAAAAGAGAAACTAGGATACTACAGGAGAAAGCAAAATAAACCGTGGTTTGATGAAGAATGTTCAAAATTAATAGATCGAAGGAAGCAAACAAAATTTCAATGGTTGCAGAACCCAAACAAAACAAATGCGGATAATCTATGTAACGTGAGACGTGAGGCTAGTAGAACCTTTAGGACTAAGAAAAGGGAATACCTGAAGGGCAAAATTGCTGAACTTGAGACAAATAATAAGGAAAAAAACATCAGAGACCTGTACAGAGGCATTAATAACTTTAAGAAAGGATATCAACCCCAGACTAATTTGGTAAAGGATGATAGTGGCAATTTGCTTGCAGATCCAATAAAAATTGTGAATAGGTGGAAAAATTTCTTTAGCGAGCTCTTAAATGTTCATAATACTGGTGATATTAGACAGATTAAAATGCATACAGCTGAACTGTTGGTGCCAGAACCTAGCTTAGATGAAGTGGAACTAGCCATTGGGAAGTTGAAAAGTTATAAATCTCCAGGAATTGATCAGATTCCGGCCGAATTAATTAAAGCAGGTGGCAAAGGGTTGCATATGAGGATCCATAAGCTTATTCAGTTAATTTGGGATAAGGAAGAGATGCCACATCAATGGAAGGAATCCATAATTATTCCTATTTATAAGAAGGGGGACAAGACTGAGTGTGGTAATTACCGAGGAATATCGCTGCTATCAACCTCATACAAAATTCTATCCAACATTCTTTTGGCAAGATTAACCCCATATGCGAATGAAACTATTGGGGATCATCAGTGTGGGTTCAGACGAAACAGATCAACGATTGATCAGATCTTTTGCATTCGTCAGATACTAGAGAAAAAATGGGAGTTCGGTGGGACTGTACATCAGTTATTTATAGATTTCAAAAAAGCCTATGACTCTGTGAAGAGAGAAGTGCTATATAATATTCTTATTGAATTTGGTATACCAAAGAAGCTAGTGGGTCTAATAAAAATGTGCTTAAATGAAACCTGCAGCAAAATTCGAGTAGGTAAATATGTATCTGAGACATTCCTCATCAAGAACGGTCTAAAACAAGGAGATGCTTTGTCTCCCTTGCTCTTTAACTTTGCGCTAGAATACGCCATCAGGAAGGTCCAAGGTAGGCAGGAGGGTTTGCAATTGAACGGGACACATCAGCTATTGGCATATGCTGATGATGTTAATTTATTGGGGGACGATATAAATACAATAAAGAGGAACGCAGAAGTTTTACTAGAGGCTGGTAGACAAGTGGGGCTGGAAGTAAATTCAGAAAAAACTAAGTACATGTTAGTATCTCGTCATCAGAAGACAGGCGGGCAAAATTATCTTAGGGTAGCTAATAAATCCTTTGAAAGGGTTACAAAGTTCAAATATTTGGGAACAACAATAACAAATCAAAATGATACTTGTGAGGAAGTTAGGAGGAGACTAAATTCCGGAAATGCTTGCTACTTCTCAGTCCAAAATATTTTGTCTTCCCGTCTGATTTCTAAGAACCTGAAAATTAAAGTATACAAAACAATAATCTTGCCTGTTGTTTTGTATGGGTGCGAAACATGGTCTCTCACTCAGAGGGAGGAACACAGATTGCAGGTGTTTGAGAATCGGGTGTTGAGGAGGATATTTGGGCCTAAGAGGGAAGACGATGGGGCGTGGAGAAAACTGCACAATGACGAGCTTAAAAATCTGTACTGCTCCCCCAGTATTGTGAGGGTGATTAAGTCGAGAAGAGTGAGATGGGCGGGACATGTAGCGCGCATGGATGGGACAAGAGGTGTGCACCGGGTACTGGTTGGGAAACCTGAAGGGAAGAGACCGCTGGGGAGACCTAGACGAAGATGGGAGGATAATCTCAGGCGGGATCTATGGGAGATAGGAGTTGAAGGAAACTGGATTTTGTTGGCCCAGGACAGGGTCCGGTGGAGGGCTTTGGTTAATTCGGTGATGAACCTTCGGGTTCGGTAAGCCATCTAGTTAGTTAGTTAAGACGAACTAAGTAAAATATTAATTAAGCTTTACGTGGTTTTGTAAAACTGTATGTCTTGTTTCTTACTCTGCATAAATAAACCGAACATTAAATATATATAAAACAGGGAAGTAAACAAAGTTCCATAAGAATCGTTGTTCTCATACGTCTTCGTCATTACAACGCAGAAAAATATTAAATGATTAATTATATACAAAAATTAATATAATCTACTTTCTCGCCCGCAACAATAAATTTAAGAAAGGATATCAACCTCATATCAATTTGGTAAAGGATTATAATGGCAATTTGCTTGCAGATCCAATAAAAATTGTGAAAAGGTGGAAAAATTTATTTCTGCCAAACGATAAATACCTGGTTGACTATACTCATGTAAAAATGAGGCAACATACAGGTCAAGGTCATATGGAAATCACAACAATATCAGCCCAATAGTTTCCAAGATACGGGTCATTAAATTTCTCAAGGTCATATTTTTTCACACTTATTTCTGCTAAACCGTAAATACCTGGTTGACCATACTCATGTCAAAATGAGGTGACGTATAGGTCAAGATCATATGGAAGTTACAACAAGATCGGCCTACTAGTTTCCTAGATACAGGTCTTTAAAATTCTCAAGGTCATATCTTTTCACGCTTATTTCTGCCAAACCGTAAATACCTGGATGACCATACTCATGTCATAATGAAGTCGCTAATAGGCCAAGGTCATATGGAAGTCACAACAAGATCGGCCCACTAGTTTCCGAGATATGGGTCTTTAAATTTATCAAGGTCATATATTTTCACGCTTATTTCTGCCAAACCGTAAATACCTGGTTGACCATACTCATGTCAAAATGAGGTGACGTATAGGTCAAGATCATATGGAAGTTACAACAAGATCGGCCCACTAGTTTCCTAGATACAGGTCTTTAAGATTCTCAAGGTCATATCTTTTCACGCTTATTTCTGCCAAACCGTAAATACCTGGTTAATCATACTCATGTCAAAATGAGGTCACGTATAGGTCAAGGTCATATGGAAGTAACAACAAGATCAGCCCAATAGTTTCCAAGATACGGGTCTTTAAAATTCTCAAGGTCATATCTTTTCACGCTTATTTCTGCCAAACGGTGAATACGTGGTTGACCATACTCATGTCAGAATGAGGCCACGTATAGTTCAAGGTCATATGGAAGTCACGACAATATCAGTCCATTTGTTTGCGAGATACAAGTCTTTAAATTTCTCAAGGTCATTTGTTCTCACGCTTATTTCTGCCAAACCATAAGTTACTTATTGGCCATACTCATGTCATAATGAGGTCTCGAATAGGCCAAGGTCATGTCAAGACCACGGCAAGATCACGCAAACCGTTTGAGACACAAGGGGCTGAAATGTTTCAAGTTCATTTTAAGTACTATTGTCTCACGCATATACTTAGAGAACTGAAGGTATCTGAGTGATCTTTTTCACGTCATTTAGAGGTCATAGATAGTAAACGTCACGTGAAGGTCACAATATAAACACAGTCTGTAAGTTAGATTGGGATAGATTACGTTACGTTATGTTGGGTTGACTTAAGTTTGGTTAGGTTGGGTAAAGTTGAGTTAGGTTAGGTTAGGTTGGGTTAGGTTAATGAACACTTGACATTTTCCTCAAAATAGGTTTTATACTTACAAAGAGAGTTGTTGTTTTGTTGAATATCTTCCTGAATGCCATCGGGTGTCTTATAGCCAAGTATCTGTCTATACTCATTGCTGTGATGGTGAACACACTGGCCCCAACGGACACCCCTGAAACCGAAATCGAATACTTTCTCACATTCGGAACTGACCGTACCATAGATGAGGATTGATACATTAAAAATAAATGTTATCTATTCAGTTATCTCAATTCAATTTTATAAAATAAGGCTTGGTATGTTTTGTTGTTCTTACGGCGGTGAAGAAAAACAGTCTAATTGTAGATGGCTGTCTTCTGGGTTGTAATGTCGTGTAGTCTGGTAGTCTAATATTCCTATCTGGTACTTCACCAGACTACACGGTGCTATAACCCAGAAGACAGCCATCTACAATTAGACTCTTTTTCTTTTTCGAAGAAGCGTCACGTTTTATTATGATGAAATTGCATATTGTGTTCTTTATTTTTTCTGGTGTAGGTTAGTGCACTTAAGAATTTTAATTTACTGCGGGAAAAAAATATTTTCTGATTTGAAACTCTCAGATCTTACATGATTATTAATTTTTTCATTAGTACATCTACTTGATGCACAAGAAAATCGGATTTCAGGTGAATGCCTGCGAAGATACGGTGTGTTTTATCTTGCTATTTTGATTAGTCTAAGGACACTGATAGTCATGGGCAATATACAAGCTTCAGATATGTGTCAGTATTTCCAGTCTGTGCACATATTACTTATTAAGTCTTTAAATATAATAAATGTATTTGCCTTTACTCTGAATGCGACGCAAAGCTCAGATTGTTAGACGCCCCGTTTCCTCGCTGTGGAAACTCGAATTCAATCTCAGGGTGGTCCACGTGGGATTTGCGATGGGTAGCGTGGCACGGAGACATATTTTCTCCGAGCATTTCATTATTTTACTGACAATGTGATTTTACGAAATTTCCATTTTATCACTATTCCGCAGGGCGTGTCATTCGCTCGAGCAGCTGGCATGTTCTCACAAACCAGGTCCTGTGTTTATACAGGGTGAGTCAGAAGTATGTTTACAAACTTTGTGTGCGTGTTCCAGGATAAAAATAAGAAAAAATGTTCCTATGAACATGGGGTCGCAAATGTTTCATTTTCAAAATAATAGCCAAAAATAAGTTTCAATGAATTGACTTTATACCAAAATGAATCAAGCTTCCAGCAAAGATTTTCAATTAACGTTTGGGCAGAAATTGTTGGCGACATACGTATTGGTCCACACATGCTTCCATCGCGTCTAAGAGGACCTTCATAATGGCGATTCTTAAGAAGACATTTGTCACGTCTCCTTGAAGTTGTACCTCTGAATACAAGAAGACAAATGTGGTTTATGCACGACAGAGCCCCAGCACACTTCTCCCATCGCGTCAGATATCATCTCAATGAACAGTACCCTCAGCGATGGATTGGGCGTGGTGGCCCAGTAGCATGGCCACTGAGGTCACCGGACCTGACTCCATTGGACTTTTATCTGTGGGATCACTTGAAGTTCGTCGTTTATGCAACACCCATAAACAATGAAGACGACCTATGGGAACGTGTTCAAAATGCATGCCACATGATTCGAGGAAACCCTGGTGTGTACGAACGAATTCGTCAGTCTTGTGTACGTCGTGCTCGTGCATGTGTGGAGAATGGAGGACAAAGCTTTGAGCATCTCTTATAGATAAACATCCTTGTCCTTATACTTGGCAATAAAGACATGCATTGAAACTTATTTTTTCTATTATTTTGAAAAAGAAATATTTGCGACCACATGTTCATAGGAACATTCTTTCTTATTTCTGATCCAGGAACACACACACAAAGCTTGTAAACATACTTTTGACTCAACCTGTATACTACTACAGCTTTATTCCTTGTCTTAAATTCAATATGTTTTACAGTGCCAAACCTGAACTAAGTCCCGCTAAACTTCAAGAAGTCTACTTGTACTCACTACCACATTTGGGCTACATGTGAAATGTTACCTGTCCTGACATGGTCTTAATATCCTGACTTACTCTGTGGTAGAATTCAAAAATTCAAAAATTCAAAACCGCTGACATAAGCGATTGAATTATCTGACGATATTAGGTATTGGAAATCCCTAGCAAATTTTTAAAAGAGAAAATTCGGTTTCGTGATTGTTGTTTTTAGTTTCTGTGGGCTTCAGACAAGATAGACTCATTTCATATATTTTTGAATCAATTTACACAGAAAAGCAGAAACTTGTTTAAATAATGTTCACTTGTGTATACTTTTTGCAGGTCAGTTTAGTCTCAGGGTGTTTTCAGTGGGAAACAAGAAGACTTCTGTTTGACAATGCTAAAGACAACCTTTTTTCTCTGACAGTTGCATGTGACTTTTGGGTCATTTAGCCGTACACCATAATTATTTGGCGTTATATCTATTAAGTTAAATCGTTATGTTATGTAAATGTTAATAAATTAATACTGCATATCATTTTGTGTTACAATCTCATTGTTTCCATTGATAGGCCTTAGATAATCTTTGAATTTTCATCCGGCTAGGTAAGCATTAACGAATGAATCACCCAAGTTTATAAGGTTGGCTTTGTGTGGTAAAGTTAAGATGAAGTGAGAATGTTCATAAATTTTTCAATAAAATTTTAGCACTCTGTTCATAACTTTGCCGTAAAAGAGCATAATATAATAGGGTTTCCCGAACTTCAGGCTGAGAGAGAAATTATATTCCATTTATGAAAATGTTTGGCTTCTCTCTCAGGATCGAAGTTGCTGAAACGCAAACTTCTCATAACTCTTCATCGCCGTGATGTCGATTCTATAAAAATAAACTTTCTTCTAAATCTCTATCAGAAGTGTAAATTGTTGAGAGAATTTTAAGAAAATCTTAATGCACAATACATTTTTAAAACATTGGCAGCCGACAATGATTAGAATATTAATGGATTTCTATTAAACTTTTAAAACCTAGTTGTAAATATCTGTCCTACCTGCAAGATTGTCTGTATAAGTCTGCATTTCTTTATCTTTCGTATTATTATCGGTATAAACGGCGATTATTTTCTTAAACAGCGTTAACAAACTGAGTTTCGTAATGGTGATTCACTGCGTCTGTTTGTCAGAATCGTTGCAAATGGCATCCACTGGCTTCAATTGGCTTCATTTGAGTTTGGGAATCGGTGACGCTTATTCAGATCGTCATATACGCTAAATGTTGCGACGTCGTGACGACTCGCTTCGCAGCGATTGGCGTTGGTTTGCCGACATTATTTCGGATCACCTCCGTAGGCTAGTATATTCTGATTATAATGTGTAATGTCGGCGTCGTGACGCTGATTATCGGCTTTCCATCATCGTGTCATAGCGCTTACTAAAGCTTTCCTTGACTTGGTTCGGTGTAGAATCGGCGTCGCGTCGATACGTGTCGTGACGCTTGGAGTCGGCTTGCGAGGGTCGTATCTTTTGATTTTCCAGGCTGTTTGCTGCCAATGGCATCTTGATTCGGTGTTGCGATGACAGGCGTCGTGACACTCGGCGTCGATTTGCCAACTTCTTGTGCCTTCAGTAAGGTCATATACTGTATTGTTTATATGCATGTATATATGTATGCTGGTGAATATGAATGTATGCATGTATGTGCGTGTATGTGTTTACATTTACGTTTGTATGTGTGTGTGTGTGTGCGCGCGCGCGCGTATGTATGTAGCTGATAGAGCATTGTTAAATAATATGCAACATACCATAGTCATCATTACCATCGCCATCCTGAACAGATCATGAGTTTGCTCTATCAGTGTCAAGACGTTTAAGCTAACGGGAGAAAATATCTCCAGGTTCCCGTTCGCATTATCAATACATATTACAATCATTGTTTTAAGTTGTTAAGTTTGTGTTTCTGCATTTAACGCAATTTTACTGATGGAGCTGTGTCGGTGTAAAAGGAGGGAATCCTGGAGAATACATTTAATGAGTTTTAACTAATTGATTTTCTTCTCAGACAACAGTTTATAATTTTAAGTAGGCCTAATCTAGTTCACTGAGCTGTTGCAGAATTTGGTAGTTGTCTCAGTTTAGGTTGTTAACGCTGTTAACGCCGTTTGTGTAGCTTTCTTCGTCCTCACATAAAAGTGAACGCAGTCTACGTGTCGGACTGCTTGTGAGGAGTTTCACGTTCTTGGAAGCTGTTCGCTTTTACAAGTCTTCCGGCTTTATAAAGAATGAAGGCTTCACCTACTAATGCTACTAAAACGATACGATCCGAGACGTACTAAAGCTTACTTTTAAAATACAATTTAATTTGATTACACGAACCACTGTAAAGGCTGTCTCAGGATCAGTGCGTGGTTCTGGGGGCGTCCGATTAGAATCTCGGCTAGGGAACTGGCTGTAATCTCTGCTTTTTTCTTTTGTTTGTCGTAAGTTAATCTTGGCAGACGTCTGGATTGTGTCTTAAAAGAGACCAAGGTCGCTACTTTCACAAATTCTGTACAGATCTTATTCGACAAAATATCTCTGAAGTTGGTAAAATGTTGTTAAATATACGAATCAAACAGAAGTAAATCTGGCGTATTTATTACATAAACTCTGATTTCATGGCCGTACACACAGTTCCGATAGATTATTATTATTATTAGTTATATTATTTTGGTTATATTGATTCTGAGATTGTATTTAAGATTTCGGTGTTTGTATGCTGTATACATGGGTACTTTCTGATTTTCACAAATAACAAAATACTACAGCCGTAAACTACATTCTCTACAGGCAGAGTAATCTATTAGGTCGCCATAATCTTTTCCCCTGTCTCGAATGGGGTAGAGGATTTGTTGGTAAATTTTAACCAGATAATAATAATCATGATCATAAAAATAAAAACTCAATGTTAAACTTTAACTCCATTTTTTTGTCTCTTAACAATGTTGAGGATGAAGTGGATTCTTCTGATTGACTATAGGGTCCAGTGGAGGGCTCTTGTGAACATCGTAATGATGAACCCTAAGAGCTTTATAAGAGGCGGGGAATTTCTTCAGTAGCTACGCGACTCTGCTGAATGGATTTATTTAATAATCTGAGGGTCTATAAGAGAGGCTACCAGCTTTTATCTACCGCTGCAAAT